AGCCACTAAGTTCACCCTCTGATTGCAATTCTGCAGTTGTTTATTTAGTCTCACCTCTTGATCATTGCTTTTTTGTGTTCTCTCCATTTCTGGCACCTGAGTATTTTAATTTCTTGTTTTAGTGCGTAGCTGTATATTTCAAATGTTTCTGTTATATTTTATCTAACCTTTATCTGTGTTTGGGATGATGGGTGCTTCCAATATCAGCTTAGTCCATTATAGTGGTAAGGAGTCTAACAAAGAGTATTTTCAATCCCAAAAAGCAGTAAAGTTGCAGTGTCTCAGTAAAAGAATTGAAGTTATTTGTTTTGATACTTCTTTATGCTATCCTTGCTTTTCCATTTATTTTGGGCCAGCACTGCCTTATTGGTTAACATCTGGGAATTAATGGATTGGTTACCGAGAAACTTTGGATCTGGTCCTAGTTGCTTGTTAACTGCAGACTTGAGGAAATCATTTACATTCTCTGTAAGTAGCTATAAAATGCAAATGTTATTATTTGCTCTACTTCATAGGATTATTATGAGTTACCTAAGATAATAAATTTAAAAATGCTTCAGTACTTAACATATATAAATTTATGCTATTAATAACAATGTTAGGGTTTAAAAATTATTAGCACCTTCATTAAAGTATTTTTGCAATGTTAAATTATGGTTTTTGTTTTTGTTTGGTTTTTCATTTTATTTTTTGTAATTTGAAAAAAGATCTTGTATCCTGGTAAAGGCTATCATTCTTTGGAAATACTTAATGAGGGAACTACTTGGAAACATTCAAATATTCTTGTGAAATTTAAGAGCACTATTTGTACTTACAGGCAGTTATGACTTTAATAGACTATGGAATTCATTTTGAAGAGATACATCCTTTGCACTTAAAAAATAGAATTAAACCTGGAAATCGTCATTGCATTTTATTATACATTTCCCATACAATGGATACTGAAAGTTCAATGACATTTAGTCATTGTGAGGAACCATAAACTTTCTTTTTAATGCAGAAAAGATGCCTTCATTTTGAAAAGATTGAGAACCAACCTAACCTGTGGTAGGCATCACTAACCGGACTGCATGACCCCAGACCCTCCTCCTCTAACTAAAACATATTGTGTAGGACACAAGGACTGTGTTAATCCTCAGTGACACTTGTCACTTAACTATGAGGTCTTTTGCAGAGAACGTGTTATTTACTAATGGTTAAAGTACTAAGATGGCAAATGATTTAGAAAGAAAATTAGAGATTGACTCAAGGTGGTGGACTGATCATGCACAGCTCCTCCCTGTTGCCCACTAAAGTCCATAAAATGAATGTAGATAAATATAGGTAATAAAATCCATTTTAATAGAATTAGAAAACAGGGAAATTTATGATCAGAAGAAATATATTTTTAAAATAAATGTTGAAAGATAGTATCAAAGAACTAATGTTTAGAAGAACAAAACTAAAGGAAACCAAAGCCTAACATGGGTATAGGTGACCTGATGGTAGGTCTCACAGAACTACGAGCCTAGAGCCAATGAATATGAAGAGGTAAAAGAGGCCCTGGGCCATTTGTCAACCTGAAAAATTAGGAACCTGCATGTGGAGCAGCAAACCAGTCATCCCCTTCCTGTTCTCTTGCTGTGTTAAGCCAGGGGGTAACTGTGGCATGAATCAAATCATACTCTGGGGCTGGAGCAGCTGGGAAATGCCCAAGGAGCTACTGACCCCCAGGAAGACCAAAGAGCTCATCAGGCAAATAATCTTCAGATTCTGTCTACGTAGCCCAAACTTGTCCCAAAGTCAGGCTGTAATCAATTGAAACATTTTATACTGATAATAACCTGGAAATCTTATAATCAAAGAAGAGTAGACAATTAAGAGGCACGAACCATTTGAGAAAAAAGTACAGAGTGTGGGGTTCACACTCAACAAACAAAAGTTATTAAAATCAAGGGAGCAAACAAAACATTTTAAGCATAGCTACAATATCCTAAGAGAGATGATCACATCCACAATAGAGGAAGAGTCTTATGTATTGAGGAAACATTTATAGATTGGACATTATATAATACTAAGTTTAATAGATGGTCAAATGTTAAGTTTCAATAAATGGTCTGACGTACCAATGGACAAGGCTGAAAAGCAAATTAGTTACAAGAAGGTGTCAAGGGAATTCTTCTATTATTTAGTGGTAAAGTACCATGAGAAGGATAATGAGAACTGGGCACAGTGGCTCATGCCTGTAATCCCAGTTCTGTGGGAGGCTGAGGTGGGAGGATTGATTGAGCTCAGGAGTTTGAGAACAGCCTGGCCAACATGACAAAACCCCGCCTGTACTAAAAATACAAAAATTAGCCAGGTGTGGTGGTGCACACCTGCAATCCCAGCACTCAGGAGGCTGAGGCTGGAGGATTGCTTGAATCTGGAAGGTGGAGATTGCAGTGAGCTGAGATCAAGCCACTGCATTCCAGCCTGGCTCTGGAGAGACTCTGTCTCAAAACAAAACCAAAAAACCTCTCTCTCTCTCTCTCTCTCACACACACACACACACACACAGAGAGAGAGAGAGAGAGAGAGAGAGAGAGAGAGAGAGAGAGAGAATGAGAGACATAGACAATAGATCCAAATGTTCTAACATTTAGCTAATAGCTGTCCCAGAAGGAGGGAAGAGAAAGAATGGAGGAGATGGTAATAACAGAAAAGGCAACACAATAAAATTTTCTAGGGTAGAAAAACAACAAGGATATTCAAATTGAAAGTGTTTTAATTCTTGTATCTCCAGATTTAAAATTACGTGTTTTAATTCTTTTATCTCCAGTTTTGAAATCATAGTCATTCTTTTGTACTGCAGACTCTTGCTCAGTTTCGTTTTCTTCTTTGTATGATTTGTAATTTTTGTTTGTGACTATCTTTAGCAGGGATTCCTTTTTTGTGTTGATCATGAAACTGTCACTCCAGGGGTGTTTTGCATTTGCTTTCGTCAGGCACTTCAGCGGTATCACTAGTGGATTTTTTTAATATATATAATTTTGTGTCCTAAGAGAATGCTTACATGTAAATTCATATTCCTAACTGGAGCATGGTACAAACTTGGGGTTTTACTATTTCACGAGTTTATATACTATCTGTAGCTCCAGGCAGAGGCAAACTTCCTTGCTATCTTCTGATGATATGAGTGGAGTGGAGTCTGCTTTGTACTGACAGGCCAGCCATTCAAGAGTTCTACCTTTGTGCAGGTTTCAATTCTGTCTTCCTACTTTGGAGGACATGGTGTTCCATCTCTGTTCCAATGAATATAAAAATTCAAGTCCCTAGACTTTAAGACCTTTTTCCAAACATGCTAACAACCTCTCTCTTCCCTGCCCTCGCACCAAAACTTGCATTCTGATTTTTCCAATAGCTTTGCTATTGAAGACTATGGAGCTATTAAAATAACGAGATAGCCTACAAGGAAAGAGCTCCAAGATATATACTAGCGATATATAGAACTAGAAGTGGCAACACAAAAATATATAATATTTTTATATTATATATAAGAACTAGAAGTCCCCAACATAAAAATACATAATAATGAAATTAATTCTTTTGCAGTTTATTAAAATTTCTTTGGGGAGGATAAAGGGTAAAGATATAGCTGTAGTCTTCTCAATACTGCAAATAGTGAGCAGCTGATATTTCTCCATGGAAATTTGTAAATACTCGTTATAGCACAGGAATCCTCCACCTACTTCCAGTTGTATGCAATATAACGTATCTTATAGTAGATACAATGTGGCACACCAAACACACCAAATTGGAAGTGGAATTAATCCTTACCAAACTCATCCAAAAGGCAAAGTGGAATTAATCCTTACCAAACTCACCC